AATAAAATTTTACTCTATTAATTTGAACAGTAAAATTTTACTGTTTACTTTAAACATATAAATGGTGATTTTTTGCCATTGTTATCACTAACCATCACACTTACTATAATTATTACCATTATTTATATAGATATTAATTGAGAAATCAGTCAAAACATTGAATTAATAATGTTAACAGTAAAATTTTACTCTTACACAAAGTAAAATTTTACTATTTCGCAATTAAACATACTAAAATAACATTTTTGCTTGAGATCTCAAAATCAATATTCAAATTGACAATGACAAAAAAATGCACTAAAATAAAAATATATACATGTAGAGAGAGAGAGAGAAAAGAAATAGAGAGATAGAGAGAGTGCATATATTGCTTCAGATCTAGTTCAAACTAAAGCAAAATTTTGTTGTCTAAAAAACAGAGAATCTTGAGGAGACAAAAAGAAAGAGAGGGCGAGAATAAAGATTTGAGGTGATAGATCTCAGATTTGAGGTCGTCAATCTCAGATCTGAGGTCTTGGCACCGATGGTTGTGACGGTAATGGTGGAAATGGTAGTGGTGGTGGCTGTGATGAACAACGCTGGTAGTTGAGATGGTGGTGGTAAAGATAGTAAATGTGGTGGAAATGGTGGTGGTTGTGGTATTGGTGGTAATGGAGATGGTGGTAGTGATAGTGTAAACAGTGGTGGTGGTGGTGGTGAGAGCTCTTAGAAAGAGATAGATAGAGAGAGTTGAGACAGATTGAGAGAGAGAAAAAGGAGAAAGATGGAGAGAGAGAGTGTGTGTGTGTGAAGAGTCAAATTTGTCACACAGTATAAATTTGAAAATTTTTGTCCTTCTTACAAGATTTCTTTATTTTGAAGGAGTTATTACCAAAAAATTAAAGAATGTCATTTTTAAGAAAAAGGGGCTCTAGGAAGGAGTTATGGCCAAAATCCTTTTTTTTTAATTATGATTTAGAAAGTATGAAATTATGTCATTTTTTTTAAAATTATAAGGTGCATATGGTACACACTTTTGAGAGGGGTTGTTTCCTGAATTACTATTGTTATAGCTTTTTCATTCACAATTTATGGTTATGTTTTCACTTAAATAAATCTAATTTTTAATGTTGTGAAAAAGGTTTAAGGGAAAATTCCATTTTAGTGCAGACTTATAAAAAAAATTATAAATGAATAGTAAATTTTATGCACATTAATAATTAGAGTTAAAATTTCAGGACAATTTAGCACAAATATAGTACAATTTAGCAATTCTACCCTATTGTGCAAATGTTATTTCATATATTTTTCTTATAAAATGTCAAATAAAAAATATTATCTATGAACCTTGTAATAAGAAAGAGAGAGAAAGAGTTCTTGAGTGACAACTACTGTAACAACCACCTCCTTAATTAATTAAATTAATTATATGATTTGCATTGATTATGTGTTGTGTGCTATTATGTGCTATGTGTGAATTGAAATGTGTTATTGTGAACAAATATGTAGGATATGAATTAAATCTGTCTGAATCAGTAATTTATATGCATGAAAATTAAATGTTTGGATAGGTAATTAGAGTCTAATCCATATTAGTATAATTAAGGTTAGTTTAGTTTAGATTCATTTAGGTTATGATTAAGTGAATTTGATGTAATTTAGTTTAAACTAATAATTAATTAAGCTTAGGAAATTAGGGATTAATTACATCTCTTAAACCATTCATCAACCTAATAAAAGAAAAAGAGGAGTAAGAGAGAAACAGAGAGCTAGTGTATGAGGTTCGTGACATGTACTTGAGAGAGATAGAGAGAGAGAGAGAGAGAGAGAGAGAGAGAGAGAGAGTTTTAGAGAGCTCAAAGAAAAAGAAAGAAGGGGAAAAGAGGAGTCAACCAAGATCTTCACTAATCAACCCTTTAAGGCAAGAAGTAAAGTTAATTCAGCAACGGTTGAAAACAACTCAAAGTCGGCAGAAAAGCTACGTGGATGTTCGAAGACGAGATAGGGAATATGAAGTGGGCGATCATGTTCCTACCACCTCCACTACCACCTACACCTACTACCATCTTCTCCTCTATATATATAGGAATTGTAATATACAGATATATCAATCAATAATATATATCAATTATTTTACATGGTATCAGAGCTATAGGTTAAGCTCTTGGTGCTCTTCGCCTTCTGGCGGGCGGCAACCTTGCCTTAACCGCCCGCCGGACCTCAACCAATTGAAACCTCCTACACATACCTACATACCTTCACTTTCCTGAACCTTCCCACACTCCTCTCTCTCTCTCTAAAACTCTCAACTCACCCACCGCAGCAACCTCTTCGTTCCACCATGAAAACGTGAGCCATCGGTATCTGGAACAGTGGTCCAAGGGGAAGCGCTCGAAGCGTCCGTTTACCTCGCTCTCTGCCTCATCATGCTCGCTCGTGGCGGCACCGCCTCACATCGCAGCCACTCCACCCCTCCTCCGCCGCCGCAGCCATCGACTTCGTCCGATTCCAAGCCCGTCTACACGTGTAGCGTATGCGACAAGGCCTTCGGCTCCTACCACGCCCTCGGCGGTCACAAGGCCAGTCACCGGAAGCCAGTCGGAGGAACCAACGACCAGATCTCCTACAGCCGCTGTGCCTCAAAGCTGCTGGATCTCTATCTCCATGCACGACACAGCTCTCTCTCTCTGACTCTCGGTTAACAGATATCTCTCTCTCTCAATATTTCTGATTTTTGGTGAGACCAAACCGACTGTCACTCTCTCTCTCCCTTTACCCCCTCTCTTTTCCTTTCTTTTTCTTTTAATATTTACCTCCACTAGCCGACACGCACCTGCATAAAGAGACACCTTTTATTTTTATTTTTCTTCTTCAAACAACCCCACGTTCCCACCACCACGACATTGACCTCAAAACACTGATAAATCCATCTCTCTCTCTTATAGAGGAAGCTGTCTCCCACTCTCTCGGGTTTGGGGTGTTGAAGAACAAAACAACAAACACACCAAAAAAAAAAACAAACAAACAAACAAAACAAAAGACGCAGGAAGATCTGCACACCAAACTCATTTTATTCATGTCGGGGCTCACCCCGATCACCATGGTTTCCACAAAAACAAAAACAAAAAAAAAAAAAAAAACAAAACAAAACAAAAATACAAACAAACAACCACATTCACAGGTGGGATTTTCTTCTCTACTCTGGCGCCGTCTTTTTTCTTCCTCGTCCTGGCGGCCCTTGCCGTGTTGCCTCCGTGTCACCCACTCCACTGGGCCTGATCACTACTCCCTGCTCCTCCACTGCAGCATATGGGCCTCCAAATCGGAACATCACGGTGGCCTCCGCTTCAGCTCCTTATTTTCCGTCTTAGCACGCTTATCTCTGCTCGCGCATCCTTATACATGCGTGGAGCAGAGCCAGTGGGCGTTTAATTGCTGCACCTCATTTGTCCTACTCTGCAGCCGGTGCGACAAGTTTGTGACCGCCGTCATGGACTCCACACATGCCTTCAAAGTATACTGATTAGCTCCACATCCGTTTGCACTGCCATTTTTTGCTCCACGACTGCATCGAAAGTTCAACGGAGCAAACCAGTGGTGTTGGTGAGTTCACGGCGACACCGCACCAGTTATCTCTCTTGTGGACTCGTTGAGGTCGGAAAGAGAGTAAGCAGAGGGCGAGACGAAGAGGCCATTTTCTTGGAACAGAGTGTTACGAATATTACAGAGTTTCTCTCTCAGAACACGAATCTCTCAGAACACGAAGAGTTTTTTAGCTGTTTCTCTCAGTTTTTTTTTTTTGTCTCAGTCTCTGCCTCAGCCTCTGCCTTCGTCTTGGTTATATAGCCAAGGCAGACACGCGCATCCTGCGCCGCTGGGCGCTCGCCGACAACCTGGCACGTCTTTTCATGGCACGCCTTTTGATGCATTTGGGTACGCCTTTTGATGGCACGCCTTTTGAGGGTGCGGGCACACCTTTTGAGGGCACGACTTTTGAGGGCTCGATATCTATATCCATGTATATCTTTTGGGCAGCCTATATACACACTCATACAGTGTCTTCTACACCGATCAGCTTTATCAATCCCTTTTCACCCTCAAATAGGTTTCTATCTTCACACCTATTTGAGTTTGAGGGGGGGTTATACACAGTATCATGTATAAGTCGCTCATGGCGCACTGTGCACCACCCCAACCTCTGCTACATCGGTCTGACATGACCCCGTAAACTGTCCTGCTACATCGGTCCGACATGACCCCGTAAACTGTCTTCTACAACGGTCCGACATGACCCCATAAACTGTCCCGACATTGATTCCGGTCAGCTTCTACATCGGTCCGACATGACCCCATAAACTGTCCCGACATTGATTCCGGTCAGCTTCTACATCAGTCCGACATGACCCCATAAACTGTCTTCTCCAACGGTCCGACATGACCCCGTAAACTGTCCTGCTACAACGGTCCGACATGACCCCATAAACTGTCTTCTACATCGGTCTGACACGACCACACAGTGTCTGCTACAACGGTCCGACATGACCCCGTAAACTGTCTGCTACAACGGTCCGACACGACCATACAGTGTCTCCTATCCCATTTTTAATTGTCAGCCTATTTTTCTGTTTTGTTACTCTCTCCAAACTCAAGTTGGCTAGTACCTATCCTCCTTGAGTTTGAGGGGGGCTGTTAATGTAAAATGTAAATTGTAAAATGTAAACTACCACCCACCTACCACCTCCACTACCACTCACTCCACCTACCACCTCCACTACCACTCACTCCACTTACCACCTCCACTACCACCTACACCTACTACCATCTTCTCCTCTATATATATAGGAATTGTAATATACAGATATATCAATCAATAATATACATCAATTATTTTACAGTAAGAAGTAAAGTTAATTCAGCAACGGTTGAAAACAACTCAAAGCCGGCAGAAAAGCTACGTGGATGTTCGAAGACGAGATAGGGAATATGAAGTGGGCGATCATGTTTTTATCAAAGTGACACCAATGAAAAGACAGACTCGTTGTAGAACCAATGGCAAGTTAGCAGCTCGGTACATTGGACCATATGAGATCATTGAGAAAATTAATCCAGTGGCATATCGGGTAGCTCTCCCTCCTGATATGAAGCATGTACATAATGTCTTTCATGTTTCAATATTGCGAGGTTATCTCCGGGATCATTTTCATGTTATTGAGCCTACCCATGTTCTTTTGAGTGATGACTATACCTATGAAGAGCTGCCCATACAAATTGTAAATCGACGGATCAAAAAGTCAAGGAACAAGGACATTTCATTAGTGAAAGTAGATTGGCCAAATCATGGTGGGATTTATGCAACTTGGGAAAGAGAGGACGATATGAAGAAAAGATATCCCGAGCTTTTTCCATTGGGTCCTGTGTTCTTCATAGAGGAAGGTAACTAAGTATGGAGGACCAAACGTCCTAAGGGGAAGAGAATGTAACAACCACCTCTTTGATTAATTAAGTTAATCATATGATTTGCATTGATTATGTGTTATGTGCTATGTGTGAATTGAAATGTGTTATTGTAAACATATATGGCTAGGATATGAATTGAACTTGTCTGAATCAGTAACTTATATGCATGAAAATTAAATGTTTGGATAGGTAATTAGAGCCTAATCCATATTGGTACAATTATGGTTAGTTTAGTTTAGATTCATTTTGGTTATGATTAAGTGAATTTGATATAATTTAGTTTAAACTTATAATTAATTAAGCTTAGGAAATTACGGATTAATTACATCTCTTAAACCATTCATCAACCTAATAAAAGAAAGAAAGGAGTAAGAGGGAGAGAGAGTTAGTGCATGAGGTTAGTGACATACACTTGAGAGAGAGAGAGAGAGTTTTGGAGAGCTCAAGAAGAAGAAAGAAGGGAAAAAGAGGAGTCAAGCAAGATCTTCACTAATTAACCCTTTAAGGTAGAATTCTTGCTAATCTCAAGAAATTAGGGCTTATACACTCATCATCTTGAAAGATTGAAGCTTAAATGGAATGATTCATGGTTGTTTAAGGGTTTTAAGGTCAAGTTTAGAGTGAGAACCTTTATGAACATAAAAGAGTGCAATTGAAGGAATTAGTGCAAGATTTGAACATGCATGGCATAAGTTCATGAAAATCATGACCACAAACTTGTTTTCTTGCATTGCCTCTCATGATTTCAAAGGAATTTCTACATTTGAACTTAAGTTGAAGCTCTTAAAGTTATAGTTCATGATTCTACAATTTTCTCAAAGAATTTGATCTTGTTTATGGAAATTGAGGTTTGATTTGAAGTTATGATTGCTGTTTAAAGTTAGATATGTTATATTCAAGTTGTTTTAGAGGGGTTTGGGCCTTGAGATACATGTAATTGAAGTTAGATTTTGAAAAGCTTGAGTTCCAAATGTCAAACAGATTTTTGAATTGGATTTTATCCAGACCGCACGTGCGGCCTGAGGCCCCGCACGTGTTGCCAAACCTCCATTGTTCCAAAGTGTATTTTACTTTTGTTGCATGTGCGGCTAGTGCTCCCGTATGTGGGGGTTTTTAGGGCGGTTTTGATTTTGTTTTCTTTCCATTTTTCAGACTTCCGGGTCTTCATTTGCATAGTTTTCAAATGTATTTCACATTCATATGCATAGCATGAACACGAGAGAAATTAAAGAACAAATAAAAATAACCTAGCGAGTAAGTAGCGAATGAACCAAATAGGTTTAAGAACTGACTGAATGAATGGAATGTGTTTTGAATGTTATGCTTGAATGTGTTTATGTAGGTCAGACGCCTTACCCTAGCCACGTGATTCACGGAGTCAATTGTAAATAACAACCTTGAAAAGATATGTTTAACTTATAAGTATTTTCTGACTTATACGGTACTTTGTTTTCGAAATAATGCTTTAAATGAATGATCGTCCTATTGTGAAATGTATTCATGGCATCCTTAGCTACTGTTACTGTTACTGTTATAGAGATCTCTATCAATTCCAAATCTTGGAACTACTGTTTACTGTATTGATGGCCATCAAATATGACTGTTCGGTCTTCTAAGACCTACTGCACTGCTGTCATGACCTGAACCCGCCCCTATAGATTAAGGTCATAACTGGTCAGTAATCATGAGATTACCTACAACCTTAAACAAGATTAAATGTATCTTAATAGTAGTAAAGGGGCCAAAGCGGAAACAGACTTAAAAATTTTGTCCAATGAACTGTGCTTGCATGGCATATCAAAACATTTTACACCACATATTAATAGTTAACATCTTATACATCCAAGATCATTCAAACACATAATTAGCTATACCAAAAGCTTATACACATAAATGGTCTATCATGACTTTTGAGCTCAAAATATGAGCTTAAGTGTGTTTAGCTCATATATATATACTAGGTGATTAGATTAAGTTAATCAATCTCAATTAAAGTTAATGAGCCTCACTTAATTAATCTAATTATTTTGATACGAATTAATTTTTAATCAAATTTCACCATAGGCTCTAAAAATCACGCTAATTACAATGGTACAGACAATTTCAATTCCTATAGTTTCTACGGTCTTCAATTTTCAAATTATAGCACTAAGTTGGACAGATTTTCCTATGGTAAATAGATATAGTTTCAAAAACATAATTAATTACATAATTATCATCCAAAATCATTTTAAGCACATAATCACAATCATAATTAAGTTTAATTAACATAACACAGAACATGATTATCACAATTTAAAACATTCTATAATGAAATTCAATCACACGTTATATTTCTTAAATAAATATATTGACATCATTATAAATTGAAAGATTTTGAGTATAAATTGAATAATTTCTTAAATAAATTTAATCACACATTACTACAAACATGAGTTTCAATAAAATTAATAAACATAAAATCTAAATCCAAACAAACAATATATATTTTAATGCATTATAAATAAATATAAATAATTAATTTAATAGCGGGCCGGACTAGATTGAAAGTATAAATCACAAGCCTAGCCCATTAATATTTTGAGTTGAAAATGTTGGCCCAGCCCAGTCCTATGGGCTAAAATGCTAATGGATGTATCACGTATAACTACTATGATTTTAATATGATTATGAAATAAGAAACTAATTCACTGATGATAATTGACTGTTTTAAATATTATAAAGACATCATTCATAACCCATTTATAGAGTTGTTATTCACTGGGCACTAACTCACTGTTTATATATGTATGTAGGTGGTCAAGTGCAAGATCAGACTTAGTGGCGTCGACCTAAACTCTGCTTTTTGTCAAGCCAACTTCTGCACCTCACTGCGAGGTTCCAAGTGGTCAAGCTTCAAGGCTTCACGAGTGGTTTTGAATACACCCTTTTGAATCTTGATCAAGTGTATGAATGTTTTTATTTTAAGATTGGTTTTGTTATTAGGATTAAATCCCTAAGTTTTGTTTATGTTTTGTACACAAGCTTGATGTGGATCTATGTGAACATATGTTTAATGTTTGGACTCGCGTGTATATATACATTGTAAGAACCTGAATTTTTAGACAACTAATTAGTTTATTAATAATAATATTAAGTCAATCAATAGTGATTATTAAACTATTAAATTATAATGTTAATAGCACCATAATTAATACCAATATTAAATTCTTTTAAATAAAATTATTCATCTTGCTATGATTAAATTTATGTATCAAAATACAGTTGTGAAAACTAAATGGATTAAATTAATAGTAAACAAGCTAGTTAGAGTTTAGTAGGAAGAAAACCATCTAGTTAAAATATATATATATAGATATATAAAATAATAATAATAAAAAAAAATAAAAATAAATAAGTAAATAAGAAATTTATATATATATATATATATATACTAATATTGTATTGGCATCAATTTCAATTCAACTAAAAAAAAAAAAAGGGGTCAAATTGCAAGAAGAGTGGCTGACTGCCACTTCTTTTTCCCTAGGATTGCAAGAAGGTGGCTGACTGCCACTTCTTTTCCTATATTGCTCTAAAGCATGCAAGGCAGGCTTGTCTCCCAAGTTCACACTCAGCATCCCTAAGAAACAAGCATGGCTTAGGATGGAAATTCCAAGCCAATAGAAATTTTTTTGCTAAAGAAAGGAAATAATAAAATAAGACAAAAAGCTGCTCCCATATTCCCTACATAAGGGACCTCACCATCAGCCATAATACACACACACACACACACGACTGTGAGAGGAAAGAAAGAGTGGAGAGGAAAAAGAGAGGAGAAAAAGAGAGTAGAAAAGAGGAGAGAAAGAGACGAAAAAGAGAGGGTACTTGGTGAATACCAATTTCAACTTAGTTTGAAAAGTGTTTGCAAAAGCTCTTGAGGTAAGAATACTCAACCTCTATCCTCCCTTAGATACCTCTAACTGAATTTATATAATTTATATATGCAAGGCTAAGCATGGTTAAGTCATATATAGCAAAATAGTAACCATGCATGTTTAAAATTTTGATAGGACGAGGGTTTCATTATGTTATAATTTCATATTCCTTCTTGCAAACATAGATATATGGCTTAGCTACTATTTTTATGTGTTCAATATTCTCCATTGTTGAAATAATCTTATAAGGGAGTAAAATGAGACTTAGATTCTTCCTTTTACCTGAAACTTAGATTCTTCCTCACTGTTTCAGACTTTATCGGATGAAAAGAGGGCTCTAATAAATTGAAAATAATTGATGTCAAAAATCTGTGTATTCTGGAAGTATATATAGGGGTTATACACTGTGTAAAATCTTTATAAAATCATTGGACACCATTTTCTTACCAAAACAAATATTTTCCCTAAGCGTCGCTTACAACACAGCAGAAGCAGTGGCTTCAAACAGGTCCCATTTTCTCTACAAATGGTATTTTTCTGCACGACCACTTGGAAAAGCTGAAAAGTTGTATTTTTAAGTTACCTTTCAAAATCCACTGGTTTCATAATTTTTTATTAAGTATTGAGAGAGAAACACCAATGTTTCCAAAATGTGACAGAATTTGTCCAGTTTTCTTATAAAAATTATTTGCCAACGTCGGCTGGTTTTCAGCCTTCACACTCTTCTGGAAATATGTTCTAAACTCAAAAATTTAGCAAACGGTTCTGACCATGCCTCTTTTCGACACCGTTTGAGGCCACTTTTTATTTTTCAAACCCAGATCACCTGTGCTGGAGGTTAATATAACCCACTGTCCCAGAAAACCAGTTTTCTTCCAAAAATTATTTCTCCATTTTAAGATCGTTTTTAGCCCTGCTATTTTTCTTGAAATATTTTCCTAACTCGATGAACTAGCACCAGTTAAAATATTATAATGGTTGAACTTCGTTTGGTATGGGCTTCATAATTTTTTTTTTGTATGACCATACAGTGCTGGAAAAAGAAGTGTGTGAATTGTTAAGGAATTTTGTGATGATTCCTAAGACATTCTATCACATTTATTTTGGTTGCCATATATGATTGCGTTATGCTATATAAACATTATGTCACTGTGATTTTCAAACTAAAACTCGCACATGCATAAATATGTGAATTAGATGAAGTAAGGAAATACGAAACTGAACCGATTATACATTAAAAATTTAAAAGTAATGGGGTGA